ATGAAAAGCCAGAACTTGAGACTTGTTACCTTTGGAACTTGCTTCTTGGTTTTCTCAGCAGACTCTGACTCATCAACAGGGACTAACTGCATGTTAGAGTTTTCATTGTCCTCTTTCCCCTCCATGTTTGTTCTCTTTTTACAATTACCACATAGAAATGCTACTGGCTCTTCTTCTTGAATCTCATAATCTGGAAGAAAAGTTTGAACTCCAGCATCGACTTTATGAGCTGCAAGGATTGGCTTAGAGTCAGCAGGTTTTAATGAAAAACGGAATGATGACCTCCTCAATGCTAAACTTCGATGGTGACTATCAATAATCTCAAGACCACGATGGAGGCTAGCTGCCAAATGTTCAGTTGGTGTGAAAGGTACACGCATAGCCTCAGGGCCATCATCCTTAAGATCTTTCTGCGAAGCAGTGAACATTGATGATGTCCTCAGACTCTTCCTACTCTGGTTCACTCTAGGTGAGACACTTGGTGTAGGGGATTTAAGAATCACAGAAGAATCCCCATCAGTTGTTTCAACAGTTAGCTGGCCTGGTCCGCCCGGATTCTCTTTGACACTTTCATGAGCATCAACAACGTTTGGCATGTTTGTAGCAGGTTCAACAGAATCAACAACCATAATTTCAGAGGTTTTAGTCTCTTCGGATATTTCTTCCTCCATGTTTACATCAGTATTCTCAGTGTCTTGTCCTTCGACACATTCAAATGTGTTAGGCAATAGATCATCAGCACATCCATTTTCAGAGGTGGTATTTCCTGAATCTGATTCAATTATCTCTCGTTTGGTCACTTCATTTGAACAGCTATATATATCTGCTGATTGCAGGCCTACTTGAGCACAAAGATTCTCAACAGCTTCCTCATCAATTTCCATCTCCTCGTCACCATCTTCATCAATGTGAGGTAATGTCCTTGGATGATTGAGGCTAAATTTTAACAAATTCAAGCTCCTACGGGCATTCCATCCAGTTGAGTAACTTCCATTTGGATCAGTTTGGTTGTTTCCATTAGCTTTCATTCGTTGGAGTTCATCCTGCATGGTTCCCTCCACAATTTTCATATTCACACATTTCATCGCATAACTCATGGAAAAAAAAAAAAACTGATAATTAGAATATACCTTCAACTGCCGAATCACTTCACGCAGAAAATTTACATCATCCTGCATCACTTCATTAATGACTGCCTTGTTCTTGATTGCCTTTGTACGCTGAGCAAATCGTAGTGTGCTGAATGTTTCGCTCTTACAGCTGCATTACTGACTCAAGTAAACTTCCCTTGCCTGGGAAGGGGGGGGGGGGAGAAGAAAATCTTAAACAAAATAAGGGCAGTTGTTGTCTTATTACCTTTGTGCTGGAGAGATTGCACAGACCATTGCTAATTTTGCATTGCCACCAAGAGATTCCTGCAATAAAAATGTCAACTTGGAGTCTCTGTAGGGGATATGCCTTTGCTTTCCGGTTTGGGATACTTCAGCAAGAATGTTTATCAAGTTCCTGAACTCCAAATAATAAGTAAAATTAGGAAAAATCTAGCAGTGTGTGCTCTTGACAAATCCATGAAAACATGCTGAAGCAACAAAGAGGCAAGAAAACATGGTAGAATTGAATCTGAATTGAGCAATTGTCTCCATCACTTGCATTACATAGCCTTTTTTATTTTCTGTAGCTTCTTTTTTCTGCATCACCTTCTTCTGAAACTGTAATTTGCTAAATCACTTTTTTTTCCAGCTAGGAAGACAATCACCTTTTAGACAAATATGCTAAAAGTAGTTTTCTTTAAAGGTTTGGACACGCATTTGCTCTATTACATTAACTCATTTTTTATTGTATTCTCACATTTTGGAGCTCAACAATGCTCCATACCACATTTGCGAACTATTGAAATCTAAAAAGATTCCGAATTGCAGATGTATCACATTGTAGTCAAAGTTGGAAGATCTACTTTTTGATCAATAAAGTAACAACTAAAAGTTGAATCTAGAGATTCAATATAAGATGCACGTGAAATAAGACATGCATATGAAAGAAAAGATACGAAAAGCATACCCAAGTTGTGAGAGTGAACGATTAATATTCCCTGCCTCCTTTAAGCGGTCCCCTGCAGCACCAGTTAGTTTTTGTCTCTCCGAACCGGCTAGATCAACGAGATTTATTCGGCTTGTTTTAAAGCTACTTACACCGTCGGCCACACTCTGTAAGAACAGAGAGTACTTCAGAATCCTCAAGTATAATTGGGAGAGAAAAACTCGTGAAAATATGATATATTTTCCAGTTGTTCTGCAGATCATGATCCTTGAGATTTTATTATTTACAAAAATTGACAAATAAAAAAGGACTTGGAATTTAAGAAAATTCCGGTTTGCAAAGCTGCCCAAGTTAGTGATTTGATGCCACGATTTGGTTTTGAAAAACTTGTAATCCAACAAGAAATATACTAGCTCAAACATAAATATTAGAAACAAATAAATAAAGCACATGAAATTCAAACCATTATTACCTTACATCGAGACTCAACAACACAAGTAAAAACACAATGTGAACGGGAACTTTCAGCATTGATAGTAGTCGCACCTGTCCTTCTATTTGATAATCCCTGCATCATTTGTGTGAAGCTTCTAAATTTAATTATTTGAATCAAACTTAGTTAAGTTTCAAATCCACTTTTACCAAACTGGAATAAATGGATCAAGCTAATAAGAAATCATGCATAAAAGTGTTCCTTTTCTATCAAGAAAAGTTGAATGTTAGCATTCAAAGCATTGGCAAAATAAAAATAAAAATAAAAACAAACCTTTATCAACAGCTGAGTCACGTCCTTCATCGAACTTACATACTCCTCCGTCAAATTCTCAACGTAGACGCCAGATTTTACATCTTCTCTTATCTGGATGAAATTCATAAAACGGTCTAAGAAAACCAAAAATTTTCATCCCAAAAATAAAGAATTGAAAAGTTAATTATAATTATTCATTCTACCTGCAGGTTTCTTTGATTTGGATCCAACAAATCCGTGATTTGCTCATTATAGATCTGCAAAAGGAAATTGAAAAGCAAGTGGCAAGGAATAAGAATAAAACAAAGATAAACAGTCCAATTATATCAAAATTTAGTACCACAATAAGTCAATCAACTCTACCTCAAGAAAAGAACAGCGACATTGGTACTTGAGTTGTTTATCAGCATGCTTGATTTGCTCCTACAAAATAGAAGGTTGAAGCACAACAAACCATTGAAAATGATCCACTCATAACATAAACATTCAGTGCATTCATTGATGAACATATATTGAAACCTTTACCTCATTTATACGAGCAAAGAGTCGATCAAACACACGGGGAGTTAAGCCTTGTTGATCACTTGATAAATTTTCTTCCAACAAGGCGTTGGCTGGACCCCAAATCGTATAAGTCTTTCCACTTCCAGTCTAGCGAAAACCATTTTATTCAGACACACAAATTGAAAGTTATAAACCAGTTCAAAAGTAATTCAATGAAGAAGCAAGTACCTGGCCATAAGCAAACACCGAGCTGTTAAACCCAGCAAGACAATTTTCGACGAGAGGTGCTCCTACGAGCTGGAAGATATCTAGCTGCAGTTAAAAAAGAAACAAAATTTAGGGTTTTACAGAAATAATTAAACAGAGGGAAATAAATAAAAAATAAGCCCATCAGTGCCTGAGTTGCATCCGTGTTGGCTACTGAGTCAAACGTGAAGGTTTGTCCATTGATACTCAAAGATTCATTACTAATTTTCTGAACAATTGTTTCCCCTTCTTCCTCTTCTTTAATTGGCGGCCGCATCCGTACAACCACCTAAAGAATAATAATAAAAGGGAGTCAATATTTGAAATCTAAGAAATTCCATAATTCAGAAAAAAAAAAAGGAAATACCTTGACACCGGAATCGGAGATTCCTGAGACGGCGTTTTCGGGGAGGGTTTCCGGATAAAGTTTGCGCTTGAGAGGGTTGGAGGACGGCGGGCGAGGTGGCAACGGACACTTGATCTTGGCCGTTGCGGTTGCGGCGGGGGAAGGTTGGGAGTTGGGATCTGGCGGCGGTGCGTTTTCTTTGGATGATTTTTGGTGTTTCCGTTTGGATTTAGAAGGTGTAAGGTTTGGGGAAGAAGGGTTCTCCATCTGCTCTCTCAAGACCGTGTTTCTTGGTAACATGAAATGCTTCATTTTTTTGTTTGTTTGGACAGAAAGGAAAAGAGAGGAAAAAGGGAGAGAAAGGGGAAGATTAGGGCAAGAAAGCGTGAGAGATGGAGAGAAAGACAGAAGAGTGGAAGTGAGAGAAAAGTAGCCGTTAGAGGGAACAAAAGAGTTTGAATTCGGGGATTTTTATTTTTATTTTTATTTATTTTGAAATTATGTTGGATCTGGAGCGTTTTTTTTAATAATTAAATAAACCTACGTGGACCCATTCATGAGCCCACTTTTGATACGACACTGTTTTTCTTTGACGGCCCAGATTCTTGGGCTGCTTTTTCTTTTCCTTTTAAGTCAATTAGCCACTTTACTGTTATTAAATTTGAGATTCAACCATTGTACTTTTATTCTTTTCAATTAAGCCATTACATTATTGTCAAGTGGTCAATTAAGCCAATTTTTTAAATTGGTCTATACTTAAATTATTGTTAGAGTGAGATAGCCAGATGTCAATTCAATTCAAATGGCAGGACAAGGAAAAAAAAATCTAAAAATTAGTATAAGTAATTGTTTTGTAATTGCCTTCCATTTCTTTCTTCATTATTTGTTTCATTTCCTTTATTTTTTCTCACACTCACCCATCCTTCTTATAATATGACAATATAACATAAACATAATATAAAAAAAAGGTAATAATATATTGATAAAAATTATATTATGTAAATAATATAAATATTCGAATTTTAATATTATCGAAAGATGTAACGGTTGAAGGCAGCACGCAAAGGGCATTTGTCCGTCTATTTATACAGGTGTCCTTGAGTCCACTATCACAAATACGTAATACCATTGCCACTCACCAAGTACCTAACTGCAATGAAACAATGCCCGAGACGATAAGAATCAAGGCCTTCATTCATGATTTCATGTGATGTTTTTTTGCGTCAAAAACCAGCAGAAAAAGCAGTACGTAACAAAAAACCTTAGCACAATTTGACAAAAAAAGAATATTTCCGTCGGAAAACGCTAGCTCACTATTGTCCCATAAATGACGGCCCTGTCATGTCGTTTTCCCTTGTGTCTAAAATACGCCGCACGACGTCGATGCTCTCTTCTGCCTCGCTCGCCACCCCTGTCAGCCCATTTCACCACCTTAATTTGCGTGACGAAACGCTTTCTTTTTCGGTTTTCTCTCTATATAACACCATAACCACAATACCCCACCGTCACAATCATATTTCATATAAAAACTGAAGCACCAAAAGATGGCGAAAACTGAGCTGATAACTCTCTCTTTGTTGTTCGTAATAACATTGTCTTTTACGTTGGTTAACGGTTACGGAACGGTGGTGGGAGGGAAAACGAAGATAAGCGACGTGAAGAAGAACAAGGAGGTGCAAAAGCTTGGGAGGTTTTCCGTGGAAGAATATAACAGGATGCAGGGGCGTTTGAGGAGTAATAGAGGGACGGAGTTGGTTTTTTCTCAGGTTGTGGAGGCTAAGAAACAGGTGGTATCTGGGATCAAGTACTATCTGAAGATTGAGGCCATGCAGAATGGGCTTTCCAGGACGTTTGAATCGGTGGTTGTGGTGAAACCTTGGGTTCATTCCAGGGAATTGCTCAGCTTTTCCCCTTATTCTCAAAAAGGTTAGGGGTTTGCTTGTGTTGAATCTGTAGCGTTGTAATGGTCATTCCCAAGTTTGTTTTGTGTTTTATGGCATTTTTGGTTTGGATTTTTGTGTTTGTGGGTGGGTTTTAACCTGTGATTTTCATGTATAATAAGTCTTTGAACGTGCAATAAAGGAATAAATAATGCTAATCAACTATTTGTTTTACAAATAATCTATATATCTTTGCTGGGAAAGAGAAGGATTGTGATTTGTGCTTTCAGGATCATGTATACATCAGCTTTCGATTCTCTGATTCCAAAATGTTCAAAGAAATGGTCTTATCATTCAAGGATAGTTGTAGATGATAAAGGATCGAATTCGTTTTTCTTTTTTTTCCTTTTATTTTCTCCGATATTGTATAATATTTTAAAATTTCAAAAAGGATTCAAATTGGAATCCATCTTTTTTTAAATCAAATTTATCCAAATTCAATCTGGTTTATCAGTTTTTAAAATTAACTTTTTAAATATTCTATTATTTTTGTAAATATATTTTAAATATATTTAAATTTATTTAAATATGAAAAATTATTTTTATTTTATAAAATTTAAATTTATATAAAAACTAATAAAAATATAATTCTATTTTATTAGAATATTTTTAATTTTTTTATTTCATCATTTAAAATCATTTGAATTTAATTAAAACATCTATTTGAATCAAAAAATTTAAATATAAATCAATCTAAATACTTTAATTTCAAATTAATTTTTTATTTTCTCGACCTTAAAAAAAACTACAAATTAATTTTAAATTTATATTTATTTATTAAATTTAACAAACAACAATAAATAATATTTTAAAATTTATTAATTAAACGAATAAATTATAAATATATATAAAAAAATTGGTTCACAAGCAATTTGTTTACAATTATATATATAGCTTATATGTATTCTATAAAGCTCCGAAAAAAAATAAAATTGCATATGTAAAAGTAGTTACTTGTGTAAGGATACACCAAGTAACTTATAATTAAAAAAGAAAAACGTTAAACAATGCAATCGTCTTCCCTCCTTAAGAAACCAACTTTCTGAAACAAAAATTAACAAAGATGAACCAAACAAATTCCGGGGTCACAATACAATATTAGATAATACAATTGTTATCTTCAACTTGAACATTCTTATACAAAGTGGTTAAGATAATTGATCAAGCATTTTTCAGCTGCTAATACAACATGCACTTAAAGCACAAACTTTGAACATTACATGGCCACGTGATCTACCAGGGGATCTGACCATTTTTGACAAATTAAGCTAGTGATCATGGAAAGTATGAGAAAGAGGCAAACCAAAATAACCAGCAATCTGCAAACCTGCTTAGATGCATTAGAAGAACTTCATGCATGACTTTGCACACCAAGTGATTAGCACTATCTGAACCTTTTACTATTCTATGGTAATATATTTTAGAACAAATACTCCACCTTCACTCTTCTATAACATTGGGAAAGAAGAAAGGGAGGAAGGATGGAGGGGAAGGGGGATTTGAGGCAAATGCCATCATGCCTTTCTGTCTATGGCCATTGGTGCTGGCTCCTGTTTTGCAGCCTTTGCTTGCTCTAACTTGTTCATCTTTGTAAATATGTTGCCATAAAATTGTGAATCCTTGTTGTACTCCCCGATTTTCTCCTTTAGGACTCGGTACTCCAGTTTCACATCTCTGGTATCAACGCAAACATAAATTAACTTCAACTGTAGTCACAAGTTCACAACAATTGGAATACAACAACTTATTGGTGAAAACATGAGGCCAAAGATGATGCAACCAGATTTCTTATCCTACATGTACTTTCCACTTCGGTTTTATAGTCCTTGTATCTAGTATTTCCCAAATGCGGCAAAGCAAATATTCCCCCAGAACATTTATGCAAGATACATTCCCATCCAGCTCACAATCATACAAGGCAGGATGTAGTGACTTTAGCTCCGATAAATCACTAAAGTAACCATATTCAGATATAACAAACAGTTTGCAGTAGAGAAAAACCTGTTATCAGGGTCAGTCTCGAGGGCCCTTTTGATATCCACCTCTGCCAAATCCAAATCAACAGGTTGAATATATGCTTGAGCCCTTATATATACTGCTTTCACGTTCCTATTATCAAGTTCTAACACCTATAAAATCACACATGCCTAACTGTCAGCATGAGTGAATTAACATTGACATTTCATCAAGACAAATTCTAAATGCCAATAAAGCTAACAACCTTAGTGCACAGATGCTCAGCCTGCTTGTAATCTTTGAGTTTCAACTTGCAAGCAGCATTATTAAGATTGCACGTTACTTGTCCCATTTTCACCCTTCTTCATTGTTTTGATACCCTCATCCCAGCCCTTGATTACTTGTCGTGCAATTTAAGGAGAGAAACGAGTGAGCATATGCAGTTCAAGCTGTTACAGACAGACACTCCACAACCAAAACAGTCAACGAAAATCTCCGTTAAACTGTTGAAATTTGAAAGATTTCACTTGTTCTCTCAATGCTTCCAGGAAAGACAGACATCCAAATATCATACCAGACAGCAATATATTTTACACGGCTTCAATCGAACACAGATCTTAGGCATCAGACATGAAAAAGATCTTAAAACTTAGTCCTATCTAAATTCAGATTTGATAAGAAGAATATAGTTGATGCCAACAATTTTTTTAAAAAACAAGCATTCATTAAGTATTCCATATATCATCCAACTCATTATTCTATGATTATCACAAAATTCATCGGACTTTATTAAGTTATTACACTGTTATTATCAAAAGGGTAAGTTGCAAGGACTATTCAGAAATGCTAGGCAGTTTCAAAAAGATATGGGGAGTCACCTTATTAGCGATATGAGTGTACAATATGTTAGTATGTAATTTGGCACCTAAAATATACTACTTTAACAATTTAGTACCCATAAAAAAAATTCATTCTAATCGTACTTGTTTTCATCAAGCATTTTACACCTTTGACTAAGGATGTTAGTCAAATGTTGATATCACAAATACTAACCAATAAAAATGTGATGTTTGACGAAAACAGAATTCGAGTCTCTAACTATGAATTTTCTTTTATAGGTACTAAATTGTGAAAAGTGATATAATTCAAGAGCTAAATCACACATTAACCCTTTACAATAATAAATATATAAATGTATGACAGAAACACTTGAAAATCATAACTCGGAACAGTGATTTCTGAAAACAAATAAGGAGTTAAACATCGAACTTAAGAATTAGTGATTTACACTTCCTTGATAAGAACACCAGCTTTAACAGAGAGGTAACTAAATTCATTAAGAAATGAAGCTGAACATGCATTTAAAATAAAAGAAAATTAGATGAATAAAATTATTCACCTAGGCCAAGGTTGAACTTAAAAGGAGTCCCCCTATCCCGGCTGGAATCAAACTTGGTTCCATAAAGCAAAGTTCCAGTGTAATGCACTGCAAAAAAACCAACAAACCCATAAACTTAAAAAATTCAAGAACAAGAAGTAACAGAAGAATAAATGTATAAGCTGATTAAAGAAGCTGTTAAGACTCAATTACGTAAATTGCGATTAATTAAATTGCATTCAATTGATGTTGATCAATCAACAAAGTTTTGTGTGATGCTTGAAATATAAATAAAGCTATATTACATAATAATTAGAATATGATTTAATTGTATCTATGGAGTGTATGTACTGTAGTAATTTTATTGCTTCTTTTGGATAAATAAAATATAACTTATCCCGAAAAAAAAAAATCCTAAAGGAAAAAGGACAACCAAAGCAATGAAGGAAGAAGAAGAAAGAGAGCCATTACCTTTAACTTCATCAACATTGGAGGGTCTCCCATCCTTCACCTTCCTTAAGCAGCTTTTTCTTCAGTCCATTTTTCCCAATCTCTTTCTCCTCACCAACTTTGAGGATTGGGTTAACGGGGTCATCTTGTGGGATGTCCATATTTTCTTCTTCTTCATCCACGTTGTTGGCGGTTGGGAACTCGAAATCGTCTTTCATGGTTTGCGAGATTCGCTGAGAGGAAAATTTGAGCTTTTGAGTTAAGCAAATTAGCACATGGTTGAAGGTCTTTCTCTGATTAATGCAAAGTGATCTGAAACTACAGGAATTTAAAGGTGAAGACGGAGAGAGTCCAGAGGTTCTAAAAGCTAACAGTCTGAAGATAGTTCCAGAATTCTCCCTTCTCTTTTTAGAGCCTTTGACACTGTCGTTGAGATCTTCGCGCTTCTATGAGGGCGCTTTAGGATCTACTGGTGCGTTGCATGGCATTTAAATAATTTGATTTTTTGTTTTTAAGTTCTTAAATTACTTTTAAACTCCTTATCTAACAACATAATTTATTAAAGAGAATATTATGGGTTTAAATTTTTTCGATTATATAATATTTAAATATCAATTTTAATAATATGTCAATTAATTTAAAATTTAATTAATTAATTTTTTTTATATATAATTCGAGTAAGATAAATTATTTGATGCAATAGAATTTTTTAATTGTATAATCAAAGATAAAATAAGAATATATATTTTATTTTTTAAAATATATACTAAAATATATGTGTTATTATTTTAATTTTGTTTATGAAATTAAAAAATTTGGTTTTTCAATGTATTTAATAATTTCTCATTCAAATAAATTCAAACAAAAACTATAAGCTTCAAATCTTATTATATGTAAATTTAATTATTTAATTATATTTTAAATTATTAGTTGATTATTTATCGATTGTAACTTATTATAATAGAATAATTTATTATTTGACTATTTATATGAATAAATACTTAATTATAATTGTAGACACCCAATTGGGTCCGGGCCCAGATCAATTGGGCCTGGCCCAAATAGGTAGGGCCCAATTCAATTTGTCCTGTATTATTTTGTATTTTATGTATTTTATGTATTTTATTATTATGTATATATTTATTATTATTTTTTTTTTAGATTAGATTTATATGTATTAGTTATATATTTATTATTATCTGTTCTGATTTTCCTGATTATCAGATTTTTTTACTATAATATCTTTTGATTTATCTTTTCTAATTATCTAGTATTTTTTATTTATTTTGATTTTAATTTTGGAGGCTAAGATTCAAGGCTGAAGAATCCCACTGGTGGAGGGGAACTCAATCAGAAGAGTCCAGTGGGATTCAAAGATTGAATTCCTGTCCAAGAGGAATTGGGATTGATCAGAACTCCTGATCAATCCCTATAAAAGGGACCCTCCTGGGACAGATCAAGGACACACAGAAAACAGTAAGCAAAGCTACTGATTGAGAGAAAAGGAGGCGTATAGGAAGCTAAGAAAAGTTTAGGAGTGTTCTGGGAGTGAGGAAAAATTTTAGAAATTTTGCCAAAAATTTTTTTCTGGAAATTTCTGGGAAATTTCCAGAATCCGGCGAAAATTCCGGCGAAATTTGAATTTTTCGGCAACAATTCCGGCGAACATTGAAGTTTTCGGCGACCAGTCCAGTTTTCGGCGAAGAATCCCAGAAACCGACGATATTCCGGCCAACTTCCGGCGAAATTTCCAGATTCCGACGAAAATTTCCAGAATCCGGCACCGGTGTTCTTCAGTTTCTAGAGAGAAGGGAGAGAAAAAGGAAGAAGAGAGAGAGAGGGGGAGAGCGTTCTGCCGAAAAACGAGGATGCCTTTTATACCCTCCCAAAACGACGTCGTTTTGGCCTTAAGTAACCAGAGGATCCGCGTTTTGCCGAACCCGACCCGACCCGGCGTCGACCCGCGCGTGCCAGCCCCCTCCGAGCCGAGCCGAGCCGAGCCAAGCCCCAAGCCGCTCCCCCGAGCCGTTTTCTCTTCCTTGAGCCGAGCCGAGCCGATCCGAGCCGCTCCAGGTTTTTTTTTTTTTTTTTTTTTTTTTTTTTTATTTTTATTTTATTTTTTATTTATTTATTAGATTAGGTTTATGTAATATTCTTTTTATTTATTTTTTATTATTTTATTTTCTTTAAATAAAAATAAAAAATTCCAAAAAAATATTTTTAGGGAAAAGTTGAAAGTATCAATTTTCCTTAGAAATAAATTTCCAAAAAA